GCTCTCCATGGATCTATCAGAATGATACACTAACGCCAGATGTTTGGTATACCCAGGGCAAGGAATCGAATTCCACTACCGCCGTCATATATGCCTTTGTCCTAGAATATCCCTACGATACAAACGAACTCGAGATCTATCCGCTGGGTAAAGACATTAGTATTTTCCGCAATGTTCTGCTTACCGGCCTGGACCTTGGCATGGAAAACGAAGTCATAAATAAACAAACTACGAAAATATCAATGTTAGGAATGGGGAATACACAAATCAATGTGAGTATTTTGTATAAATATTTCGCGCTCAACAATTCTAACTAGCATTCCATACCATTCCATCCACAGTGGACTGCAACTCATAATAAATTGCGAATTGTGTTTCCACCCAAGCATCATATTGATAAGCGTGGACTGGAATATGCCTGGACTTTTAAAATAACAATATCTTAAATGAAACATTAAATATTAATTATATTTTCTTGTAAATAAATAAATACCCGTGATAATATTTGAATTTTAATACTATTCGCGCGCACTTGGTTTTTAGTATATATTCGTTTCGCGCAGTCGGTCACACTCTTTCATCGCAAGGGTCGATATATCGGCTGTTTAGTCATCTCTAGTCTGATTGGCACAACAAACGCGAAAAGTTGCGATTCCTGGCGCTGGTTTTTCCTTGCACATCGCATTAAGTAAATGTTAATAATTTAATACGTAAATTTTGTGGAAGTGTTCATTAAGCTTAACAGCATCAAGTGTGCAAAGAAAAGTGCTATAATAACACGAAGAAAAATGAATGCTGAACAAGTGTAGGGGCAGTAAAAATACCCATACAAAAATGCGTAGAGCGTGCGCATACCAAAGGGAGAGAGAATTAAAGAGAGCGATGTATATTGTAAAGAAGAGAGAGGCGTGTTTGTTTGTACGGGTGTGAACGGCGCTCTCATCATTTAAGCGGCAATTGTTTTTGTTGACGCTGTCTGTCTGCCAATTGTCCAGTTGCAGCTGTTGTTTAACATCATTTTATTATTTACTGATATTTTAAACGGAATTCTATGCTCAAATTTCGCTATAAAAATAGACCGCAATGTGCCATGCGAAGGCCACCTGTCGTATGCACTGCCTGCGCTGAAATACGTTGAGCTCATTCAAGCGTGAATTTTAAGGCATTGCATTGGTTGTGTTGTACACAGCTACAGCTAATTAACATTGATTTGATGTCTCGCTCGTTGTCTGCAATTACTAGTGGATTCATTAGCTTATTTATAACAATTAGTGCGTCATCAATTGTTTGCTATGTGAATGCGAATTGGGGGTGGTGAGAAAGAGCGAAAGCAAACAAATTGTGCGCGCTGTTATGTGTAGAGCGTTGCCACAGAGGTAACATGTATGTGAGCGCAATAGTTGCTATAAGTAGACTCTAATACTTGTGAGCTTTTAAATTCAAGTAATGTGACTTAATCAAGTAATTAAGTATTGTACAACATTTTATATATAAAACAACTGCTCCGTCACTTGTGGTACGCATATGTTGTTATCCAAACTGCTCATTTCACTAGTTCCGTGAACTAAATGCCAACTCGGCAACTCTGTGCAGCTCTCACCAACAACGGCAGCACCGGTTTGGTGAGCGAGCGCAGCAGCTGTTTTGTAGCGCTCTCTTCGACGTTCGAATTTTCTCTCACAACCCGTTGCCATACGTCACTTTTGGCCAAAACACATTAGAGACTGCTGCCGACTCTTTCAGTCTTAACTGTGTCTGTACGGACGTGAGTAAGCGTTTGGGTTGCGTATGCCTCGCAGCGTATGGTAGCGCGTGTTAAACATTCTAATAAGCAGCAGCGAGAACAAAGTTAAAAATGTGTAATGAAAGAGTTCATTATCAGCAGTGAATAAGAAAAGTGAAGAACAGCCAATGCAAGTGCAAGTACAAGTGGAAGCGCAAGTGCAGTGAACCAGTCCCAGCGGACGGCGCCCTTGACTGTAAATGTCTATGTGTGTCTGTGCGTGTATGTATGTATGTGTCGGCTGCTGTTTCCAAAAATGTTCAATGTAAAAATATAAAAATACACAAACAACGCATCGCTAAAATTCGATTAACAACAAAAGCAACCTTGAAAAGGCAAAACAACGAGAGACCTGGCTATTTTTATGTGTCGCCGCAGTGGAAGTGCTCGAAATTGTATTCCATGTATGCGCTTGTCCAATCAGAATAACCAAAAGGAACGACGGCGACTGAGAGCGCGGCCAGAACAATTGAATATGCCGTCGCATGGTCATTAACACTACGTGTTTGTGTGTGCGTATATGTGTGAATGCGTGTGTTTGAGTGTAGTGCTGTGTCTGCTTTGTGCGTATGTTCTTGATTTCTTTATGTAATTTTCAACATTTCTTTTATTCGACGTAGGCGTGCAGGAATTTGCGTACGCAGCAACGCCAGCGCAGTAGCAGCGAAAAGCGTAGCAACAAAATAGTAGTAGATTTCGCTGTGGCAGAATGAGTAGCATGATTTGCAAACATGCCGTGCTCGTTTATTAATTAACTAATTAAAAAGTGAAAGAAGAGAGAGAAGTAACAAATAGGTGTTGTATTCCGAGCCCATAAAACAGACCAACAAAATTCGTATTAATATGACATCATACGCGAATGACACTACGTCAACGGCAGCAGCCACGACAACGACAACAATTGAGGGAGCAGCAACAAATGCAGGAGCCGTAACGCCAGCAGCAGCACCAACCACAGTACCAGCGGCTGCTGTCGGCGCAGCTGCTAAACAAGTGTCGAACAACAACAGCAATGACAACGGTGAATACGACGAGGACGACAACAGCTTAGATGGTCGTGAGAAAGCCGACACGACACCCGAGAACCTCAAGAAGATTGCCGAGATCATAAACGACAAGGAGGCAGCAGCAGCAGCGGCAGCGACGTTAGGCTCTCTGTCACCGCGACTGCAGCATCAGCAGCAGCTAAATGCGTCGAGCTTCGTAGGACTTGGCGCTGCCATCGATGAGTCAAACACAAAGTTCTGCCTTGGCAAGCCGCCGCCATCGCCGGCCGAAAAAGGTAAGCGAATTGAAACAGAGTCGCAGTCGCAGTCGCAGTTAGCGTCACAGTCCCATTTGACAAAAGGCAATCAGAAAGCAGCAACAACCCGAGTGTCATTATTCATGAACTTGTTGTTGTTGTGTTGCTGTTTTCTGCTTGTTGCTTGTCTCTTATATTTTTTTCTTGTTGCTTTTAATTTGAATTTTTAATGAAGCTATTTGGCGAGTTTTGGCCACGGCTTTAGCGCAAATATTTATTGCACTAGTCATGACAAACAAACACATAAGCACACACACACACGATACTCAGACACACACACACACACTCCTATTCGCATACACAGAGCACATAACACACCCATGAAAGAACATAATGGAAAAGAGCATTGCACAGTGGGAAGAGAATGCAAAATCAGTCATTATTTGTTGACGTTGATTGATTGAGAAATTTCATAAATTATGTTTTTTAATTCGAACAATATAACTAAAAAATATTTTTAAATAGCAAACAAATCATTTAGTAATACTAAACTGCTTCCCATTCAGTTAATTTAAAGAAAGATTTCTAAATGATGACGGAATAAACATATTGAGCACATTTTTAAAATTTTTGCATTATATATATAAACATATATGTATATATAAATAAATATATAGTAGCTGAATCTGAGCATCTAATCAAGCGTGCGTAGATTTATCAATTTGAGCACAAGGCCGCAAACAAAGCCATTTTCATGAATTTTCGTCATTTTTTGGCGTGTAGCCAAACGATTTAAATTGAACATACTTAGCCCTTAGATGAATCCAAATCGTGATGTGTAATTCAATAATAAAAGTCTGTTTTGAAGAAATTCCAATAATTGTTATATTAGCATTTCTATAAACGAAAAACAGTTGCCTTTTAGTTCTGTGGAACTTATGCGTTGCAACAAGCCCAACTGAAAGTCGGGTGATGGATGACATAATCTATATAGTATGTAATCCATTCAGCTGGTCACAGCCTTTTTTTCTTGAATGCCAGCGAATAGAGAGACTGAGATACAAATCTGTTGTCCAAGTCGCGCGTCGAAGCATTTTGACACTTTCAAAATAAGGTCATCTTTTTTTTTTTATTATTATTTTTTTTTTTTATCAGTTTTTTAAATACACTTAGAAAGGGTATTATGAAAGCGTAAGGCAGTGTGCATCAAATTAAATATAAAGCCAACTATTGCTATACAATTTTAAGCTAAATGTTGGTCTAAATAAACTAAATCGTATAGCTTTTACCTGATTCAGTTACTTAATTCGCTATAAGATTTGAAAGTTCACGCCTCGTTACCGTATCGCATATTGTAAATCTCTGAGAGTATCTGCCATTTGACAACACTCTTTTCATATTTTTTGTCGCTTTTGTTTGTGTTTTGTTTCTGTGACAGTCAAATCTTATGAAACCCAACAGTCGTTGTCATTATCTCCGATTTTCATGCCGTACACGCAATTCAGTCGCTAAAAGTGAGCCGAGTGACTCAACTTGATCGATTGCGATATAGTCTGTATATAGACTGACTGTATTTTGCACAACAATATCCATGCCATATGCGAAAATACTAATAACAGATTCGTGCCTAATTAAATAGTGTACGTTATCGATAGCAGCTATATCCTCACTTTGGCCCGGATATCACTTGTTAATAGCCAATTTTATGCCACTTGACCTAGCAGCACAGCCACTGTGACGTACTAAACAAGATAACTTTAATCGCAACTATTATCTGCACCAATTCGTGTGGCTTAGATTGGAACAGAGTGCACTGAAATAAAAGATACCCTGTATAAATGATTGAAGTCCTATTCGCATCTATCAGCGTTTATTTTGGTAGCCTTGAAAATACAAAATACTTGAAATCTCATACAAAAAAATATATATATTTTTTTTAGAATTTATTTGGAATATATATATTATACGAATATTATACACGAAGTTGAATATAAATAAACCTATACATTTTATATAGAAAAGCTTTAATATTCTTATAAGTTAATTATTTTATAATTGAGAATCTAAAGTAGTTTTTTATTATCCCTAAATTTGTCAAGTTAGTCAACTTGTTATTCATTGAGAAGACTTCTACGTAAGATTTTAATTTCTACTTTAGAATGAATAATGGCTTTAAACTGAGTCAGTCCAACTCATAGCTCATATCTGTTACAGGGTATTAGGAAAATTTGTAAATAATTGCGGGGATTGTTTGGCCTGGTGCATTACGTGATTTTGTTGCAAACTAGAACAGAAACTTTTGCGCACTTGTTGCAACTCACACACACACACTCTCTCAGTGAGACGCACTCAATGGGATCGACAGTGTATACACTGCGCTACAGACTGCTTGCAATTGTTTCTTTTGAACCAGAGCTAACGGTAATTACATTGACCACTCAGCATGGCCAAAAATATGGCCGTTTTGTTATTGTTGTTACAGTTGTTGTTGCTGTTGTCGAGTGGCATTTGCGGCTTTTGTTACTGCGTTATTTTTTTCTAAATTATTTTTATTGCCTTGTTCGCTTTTACTTTTTGCAATAAATAAACAAAAATGTTGTTACCGCTGTTAGAGCCATTTAGGGCCATTTGTTGTTGCTGTTGTTGAAAAAACTTTTGGAAAGTCGAGCGCAGGAAATCGAAGGGCCGCCGCCGCCTGCTGTTTCCATCTGGCATTCACTCTCTTCACTTTGGCTTCTTGGCTTGCACAAGCAAGCAAACAACAAATCGATAACAGCGTTTTATCATTGTTTTCATTATTACACAGCAATTAAACGGCAAGACCATCCATCCAATTGGCTTCCAATCGGGCGATTAGCAAGCGCTCATTGCGTCATGTTCCGACTTGAAAAGCAGTCTAAACGATTTGCGTTGGCTTTTTCTATTTGGCTTAAATGCTGTTTTATGGCAGATCTTTATAAATGATTTTGTGCTCCTCTCAAATCTGCGGTTAAGCATTCATTTAAATATGATTACACATATTTATTTATACATATATGTGCTCAGCACGGCGACAGCAGAGAAAGCCGCCCCATTCGATCATCAATTGTCATCTGATTGAGGTCATCGCCTCGTCCATTCGACGTTTGATAATTGACTTGATCAGCTTTGTGCCCAGTCGAGCAGACGACTCGAGCCAAAGAATACCTTCCCAGCATGTTAGGGCTCAATTGGTCCAAACTGGTTAAATAATTTATAGCGACCGGCCTGCATTAGTCAAGATAGTATCTCCTTCTAAGTCACTAGAGACGATTCAAATTTCAGAGAATCACCCTGAGGCCTTAGTTGGTAACATGGCTTAAGCTAATTATGATTATAAGAGAAATATGACTTTAATTTCGAGTTATTAGGTTAGTTTTCTTATCGCGCATAACGCCAACTGTTCATGTGGAAGCAGGCTATATATAAATATTGATACATAAGGGAGCGGTATTAATATCTTTATATACACACAGGCAGTGTGCTTGTTATTATACGAGAATATTTGTATATAAGAATATCAGAAAAATTGCAAATCTGCGCAGAATGTCTATTGTTGTTGTTTTTATACGAATCAATAGAGCTGCTCACTCAGTTAGCTGCATTTGGCTGAATAAGTATTATTTTTGTTTAATTTTACGATTAGATATACGAGTTTTTCTGAGAGCTCTATTCGTGGGAAATTAATTTGAAAAACTATAGATGAATTGAGTTCACGGTCAATTTAAATAAATTTAAAAATAATTACATACCTGAAAATATAGTCAAAACAACTCGATTCATGAAGACGATTCCAAGAGTTAATCTACGCATGTTATTGCTTGATAGCTTCTGGTTAAACAATCTTAGCAGGATGTAGACACCAATACTGATAAGAGAGTTATAAGGGAACATTGATAGAAGCAGGAAGTATACGCTGGTCATTTAAAGTCGCTTAAGTAGTCACAGTTATTTGTAGTTTTCTAAAGTTGCTCAAATGGAATTCAAGCATTATACTCTCCATACTCCTTCATTAATTCTGATAAGCTAAGCTGTTTCAAACATATGTAGATGGATTTATTTTTTTGCGAATAAGCCTTATCAAAGATGTTATTATTCATAGAATAACAGCTGCAATAATAATATTTATGAAATATTTATGTATGTATTGTAGTATACAAATAAATACGATATCAAGCACAATCTCAATTCAATTATAAAAAAAAAAAAAACTTCCGCTGCTCTATAATTTCTGTTGTCTAACTTGGCTATAATTGAAATGAATTCATCTTTTAGCTCTTCTCCTTATTAGTCTTTGGACTATAATTAAATTATGATATATTTACAAAAAATAACCTGTTGAAAGTCAAAGTCTTTGCCGCCTTTGGGTCTTCTGTTTCCTGTTCCACGCTCCATGTTCCACTTGTTCGTAACACAATATTAATAGAATAATTAAACTGGAAAACAAAAAATAAATTGATTTTGCGGCCAAAATTAGTTGAGTGAAATCGTTTGTTAGTTTGGACATCTCCAAGAAGCTCAACAGCGGAACGGAAGACACGTGCTCCGTTGAACTTCGATGGTCAGTGTACTAGGCGGAGCGTAAAAAATGCTTGGGATCCCTTCTCACCCAACCACACCTGCAATTGACCGAATTCAGCGAACTCTAACCTTCATTCGTTGCAGTGCAGCGCCGCCTCTTGGCCTTATATGTGATAGCCAGCCAGGCATAGATCACGAGTACGCACGTAGAGAGCCCGTAGATCCCCAAATGGTGCCGCACTCAAGCTGCCCTCGCCCCGTCTCCTCGGTCTCTCCCTCTCTTCAACTCGCTTTGCTTTGTTATCTTCTTCTTTGCCGCGGAAATGTATAGAAATTTGCTAGCGGAAGCAGAGGGCGCATATTGCCACGTTCCAGCCTGGGCGTTGCTTGCAAAATGCTGGGCATGGCCAGTCAAAGAAATAATTTGTAATAATGACTAATGCCATCATCGCGCGTATCACGATCGCAGTCAAGTGCATCATATAGCCCTTGACGGAAGACGCGTATTTTTTGCCCAATAATTATTTATTGTACAATGCCTAATATGTTTTTAATGACTATTTAAACTTATAATTATAATCAAAATTGTAAATTGATAATTTACTATATTCCAATACATATTATCGACAAGCTAGAAATGCTTATTATACAAAATATTAATTTAAATAAATAGGGTAGCATGAACCAAACGTAAGGTTTATTGCACTTTGAAATATAGAACATATAAATTTAAAAATATATATTTAAATTAGTGTAAAAGTAGCTGATTATGAATGAAATACTATATGAAAAAGTGGTGTTCATAGCAATAGAATTGTGAGTTTTTGTTTTTTTTTTTTTTTACCAGAAAATATTATTCAATTTGAAACTAATATTAAGATTCTCTAACATTATTATTTTATAAAAATATAATAAATATTATCAGAAAAAGTACCTTTTCATTGGTTGTTGCACAAACTTCCTATTTTCATGATCCCAATTTTATTGTATCATATTTTAATTATATATAATTAATTTATATTATAATTTATATGAAGTACTCCCATATTAAAATGATCGAGTCTATCGCGTAATATTTGATGTCTATGAAATTGTTTAATCTTGCAAATATAGACTGTATTAAATATACGGAAATTGCCAACAATATTTCTCTTTTTAATGTCGACGTAAAATGGCATTAATATATAATAATTATAAAGATTAGTAATTTCTTCAAGTGCTTCAACTGTCGTTGTATGTGCGCACTGCAGTCCACACTTTCTCCCAACTCCACTCTCAGGGGCCCGATCGCCCGTTTGCTGGCTGAGCCGGCCCTGGCTCTGCTGCGCGCTCAGCTTGCCACTTGAGTTGGCACATCGCGCTGAGAGCGATGATGCTCTCGCAAGCTAGATTCGTTTTCACCGTCCGACTGGACTCGATCGCAACTGTAAATAAATGCTAATTTAATTGTACCTCTTTGTTCCATTGCAGCGGCTGTGCTGGGCAGAGCGAATCATCGGCCGAGCAGCAACAGCAACAAAGAAAGCGACGCCGCTGATGTGGAAGAGGAGTCGACGGCGTCGACTTCGACAGCGACCAAGCAGTCGCTGGCCTTCACCATTGATCACTTTGACGCCTCGGAGAACGACTCGGCGGCTCAGGCGGCGCGCTACAAGAATATGATGGAACGCTTTCAGAACCGGCACAGGCGAGGAGCCTCCATGTCCAAGCTGGAGAGCGAAGGCAGCTCGGCCAACAGCGCCAACGGGCGACAGTCGCAGCGCAGCAGTCTGGATGCCAGCAGCGTGGCCGATGATGCTTCCGTGGCAGCCACGCCCACCACCGAGGCAGCGCCAGCGGTGAAGATGCGCGTTCGTGAGCGCAGCGCGTCCCGGGTGAGGGACGCCTCCAAGCGACACAGCTGGTCGCCGCGCAGCTCGGCCACGACGGAGCCGCCCGCCCGGGTGCCTAGCCAGAAGCCAAAGCCGGCCCAGCCTGCGCCGCCCAAGGGCACCTCCAACATGCTGGCCAATCGCACCGCGCAGTTCACGCCGCGCTCCACAGCGATGCAGCTGGCGCTGAAGCAGGTGGAGCTGCTGTGCCCGCATCCTCCACTGAGCGATATGAAGAGCGGCGAGGACGACGCTGTCAGCGAGGCGGGCACCTACACGCTCGACGGCGACAACTACACCGAGGAGCAGAAGGATCTCATGAACATCGATCGTAACGCTGCGGCGGCTGCGGCTGCCGCTGCTGCGACTGCGACAGCGTCGGCTAAGCTGCGTCCCAAGCAGCTGGCCGTGAAGCCCAACCGCGCCAGCAATGTGCTGGAGGTGAACTACTACCATGAGACGCCCCAACAGGAGCAGAAGGGCAACAGCAGCAGCGCCAATGCCACGGGCGCCTACCTGGAGCAGCTCAAGTCTAGAGCGCTCCACCCTCAGGCGCCGCCAACGCCTCCCTCGCCCCGCTCGCCGGCCGCCGATGTGGGCTGCTTCACCAGCGTCACGACCAGCGGCGTGCTGGCCAAGCAGCGGGCTCTGGACACGCATCCCAAGCTGACGCGCCACTCGCACAGCCTGTCCACCTCGCAGATCGACAGCTCCGAGTACGTGAGCAACGAGGCCAAGCTGCGCCACGCCCAGGCCCAGGCCATAGCAGGCAGTGCCACGGATCGCCAGAAGGCCGAGTATCGACTGAATGTGTTCACCAGCAGCAACAGCCAACAGCAGCAGCAACAACAACAGCAGCAGCAGCAGCAGCCACTGCATCAGCTGCCTGAGACGCCGACCACGCCCACAGAGGCAGCGCTGCTGCAGTCGGCGCCCACAAAGCAGGACTGGATACAGGAGTGGGCGCGCAATGCGCGTGCTCGCAGTCTCGCCCAGGATGTGAGCAGCAGCTCCGCCAATCGCCGCAAGCAGCAGGCGCAGGCCCAAGCCCAGGCACAGGTGAGCAGAGTTTGTAAATAGAACGGTAAAATCAGTCAATCAATCATCTATCTCTCTCTCTCTCTCTAATCCAGCAACTGATGACACGCAGCTACAATTGCTCGGACACTGGCGCGGATTCCTTGACGGATGACAGCCTCAGCTTGTATAATCAGCAGCAGCAGCGCCAGTATGCCGCAGCTGCTAAGCTGAATCGCAGCCTGGCGGAGCGCTACCGACTGCTGGGTGACTGTGACTACGCGAGCGATCCGGCGCTGTGCAGCCCGGGCCAGCTGCCGGGCGAGCCGTACAAGCCGCCAAAGAGTCCCAGCAAGATACCCTCGCCGCTGCACACGCTGGGACGCGCGCGCAGTGCCAGCCGCTCGCGGCCAGCCATGGAGCAAATGCCGTCGCAGACGAACTCGCGCCGCAGCTCGGTCAAGTCGCCGGCGAACCAGTGCAGTCCCCAGCACAGTCTGGACACGTCGGCGGGCTATCGCCGCTCGCCGCTGCATCGCGCCCTGATGACCAGCAGCATCAACGAGGCGCAGCTGCAGCTGCTGACCAGCGGCGAGTATCTGCTGAAGCAGCTGCATCGGCGCAAGAACTCGCTGGACGATGTGGAGCACGTGGAGTTGCCCACGTCGTCTGCTGGCGACATATCGCCGCTGCGCCGCTCCAGCTCCTTCCAGCGGCCGCTGCAGAATCTGCGCCAGGCGCGCCCCAACTTTCAGAATCTGTATACTCCGCCAGCGGCCCGCCACCTGCAACATCAGCAGCAGCAACAGTTGCAGCTGCAGCTGAAAAAGTCCGCCAGCAGCAACAACTTCGATCAGTCGTACAGCGACTACGACAACGAGCTGCAGTACTACATCAACGACGAGGACGAGCTGGGCACCACGGGCCCCTACTACTCCAGCGGCGAGGAGGAGGATGAGCTAGAGCTGGAGCATCACCAGCAGCAACAGCAACAGCTGCAGCAGCAGCAGCAGCAGAGGTCGCGTCAGGCGCAACAAACGCACAATGCTTCCGACTCGGCTGTGCCGTTGACCAATACGCGGCTCAACAAGGCGCTGCTCATGCGCATCGAGCGCAGCAAGCAGCGCGTGGCGGGCAGTGGAGCAGCAAGTGCAACTGGCCAGGGACTCACGCCATCGAAGCCCAGCTCGGCGCCTGCGGGCAAGCTGAGTGCGGCTGCCCAGGCAGCAGCAGCTGGGCTGGTGGCCTGTCCCAACACGCCCGAGCTGCCACGGCGCGGCATCAAGAGCGCCCAGCCGCGTGCTGCCTCTGGCTGCGGACCCAAGTTGCGGCAGTCCATGCCACGTGAGACGAGCCTCAGTCGCTTGGCCCAGCAGGTGCCCAGCAGCTTGGCCAATGCCAAGAAGCAGCTGCTGCAGACGGCCAACGCCACGAGCAATATGCGCGTGCAGCCCAAGTACCTTGACATATCCAAGTACAAGTCGGCGCAGTCGAACAACTTCTTGCGCAAGAACGATGCCAAGAGCACCCTCAAGCCGGCCGAGCAAATGAAGCGCAGTCCCAGCGCCTCCTCCATGGGTCTGAGCCGTGGCGATGGCACGCGTGCCAGCAACCGCAGCGTGCGCTCCAACACCTCTGTGATGAACAGCAGCACCACATCCCTGGGTGGTGGTGGCGGCGGCATGCGCGCCTCATCCAGCGTGCGCCGCGATGCCTCAGGTAAGTACAGTGAAGTATGCCAATTAGCCACTGACATAAAACGCTTCAAAATCCGTTCACAGTGAACAAACAGAAGGAGGCCGAGATGGTCATGTGGAAGCGCCGCTCCACCTACGATCCCATGAAGGCGGCTGCCGAGGATCGACGCCGCAAAGAGGAGGCGCGCCGTGCCCAGACACAGGCCCAGGCACAGCAGCAATACAATAATGTGGCTGGCGATGTGCCCTTCGAAAGGTAAATGCCCGACACCTGTGCGGGAAGACTCGCGCCGCTGTGTTTACGATTAATATAAAATATTTAGATCTCGTTCAGGTGTTTGACTTAACGCGTTAATTAGCGAACCGTTTAAAAAAACCTATAAACAGAGAACAAACCCCTACTCTACATTAGTTTATAATTTATAGTCCGTAAATATAGATATGTGACTTTTTGCATAAGAGATGATTTAAGGTATAACCCTTTAATACTAGTAATTTCAATTAGCTAATAGAATCAATGGACTTTTACCAACTCGAATTCAACTAATGTTGAAATTACTGCCCAGCCTTATTTTTAAAAATGAAATTAATTCTACTATTGAATAATCTAAATTCTAAATATAATCCAACTGGGATCTTTTTGGCATATGCATTAATAGCTGAACTAATTGAAACAGTTACTTTGAATTTAAAACCATTTAATTCAAAAAAAATAAATACTGTCAAATCAAATTCAGTTACTCAAGAACTTACTAGCCAAACAACTTAAGTCTATTTCAATTTATAAAATTGAAAATAAGGCTCAACTAATTAGGTAAGCTTAGTTCGACGTTCTAAATTATTATATACTTATTTCCATTAGTATACCTATAATACCGAAAAGGATCATTTTTAAGAGCCCTGACACTTTACGAGTTTCTTTTAATTATAATCCCATTAGACTGAAAGTCGATCTTCAATCTGCTTTACACTGTTTTTTTTTTTTTTTTTTTTTTCATAATCAAAAGTATTACTATAGATTAGATATAGCTTAGTTATTGAAGACATTGATATTTAAAGCATATATGACCTTAAGTCTTATAGCTCTTAATACTCTCTACTTTCAAGTCCGTATACAAACAAATGTTTACTCTCAATTTATAATTTCTATATATGTATATTCTATAAACTTGCCTAATTGACAGATCGAAACTATTCGATATTGACGAATTTGATTAGAAAGGTATAAACATACTTTATGCCTCCATATATAGTTATTAATTTACTTTCACTGCATTAGGAAATAGAGCAGCTATACTCAAAATATACGCAGATCGCTGTAGCTTGAGATTTCATTTAGTTCTTAGGTGAGGATTATTAAGTAGTACTTTATTAGAGCCTATACTATGATTTTAATATATATTTTTAAGCGTAAATTTCTTATTTTTTCCATTTATTCAATTGTTATTATTAGCTTAAGGTTGTGGGTTATATCGCGGCTAGAGGTAAAGGTGCGTCTAACGACCAATTAAACCCTAATCGTAACTCACCTTCAGTAAACACTTACGCTTACGATTTGATCTCTCGTAGTGCTCCCGATGCTGTTTATAGGCACAGCATTGCATAATATATTTATATATACTACTCTCCAAATATCTAAATAGTCTCTCAAAATTGTAGGACATTTAGTTTAAAACAATGTATAATCCCAATTTATGTTATAATTTTGCTAATTATTTTCTTTTTCTTTTAATTTCTGTACACCAACCAAACAACCAACCACACACAAATAAACCTACGCAAACCGCCTCTTTGCTATCTCTGTAGACCATCACGCTCACACTATCGCCGTGGACTGTTATGACCAACGGATGGTGTGCTAGTGACCGATCTGTAACCAAGATATACCAACACCACAACATTCGACTACTATCTTTCCACACACACGCAAGCACACCGAACACACACGCAAACACATCTCTTCTTATACACTACATATTTAACATGGTGCAAGCAGAGCCGACCACAGCGAATTCCTACGTAATTAATCTTGATTGTGTTGCTAGAGCCCAGTTCTAGTATCAATTCGAAACCAAGCAACGAATTATTGTACGGATTATAAACTCGTTTATACATTTACGAATCTATCTAATCCAACGACAGCGACAACGAATTGCTGCACAGTTCCAACGAGTTTGCCAATGTAATAGAGAAGTTGCCTCAATGCCACTTGCTACTCGCCATTTGCTACTCGCCACTCGCCACTTGCCACTCGCTACTCGTTGCCCGTTGCCCGTTACTCGTGACTCGTTACTCGTTGCTAGTTGCTCGTTACTGTTTGTTATCTGTTTGCATTGAACTCATTTTGTACGTTGCTATATATACATATATATAGAGAGATATGTTATATATAGAAAATGTTAAAATCGTGTAGGACAATCAATCAAAATTTGTCTTGTGTCACCTCGGCGCATACATAACAAGCCAATGTATTTAGTATATCATATTCATGTTTGCATTTGGCTAGCAGTCAACTAACTTCATAACAAATCTAACAACTGTTTGTTAGCTGTACAAATGTTTGCCTTGTCTTGAAAACTAATTCGTGTTCTCGTTAGCTTTAATAATCTTAATGATACTTCACTACTACTACTAATACAACATTCACACACACACATATACTATATAAGACAACTATTAAAAGCTTAGTTAGTCGCTAGTTTAGCACTTGTTTTGTATTCGCTACACTCATTGAATACATTCAACTGATATCATCTACTCTGTCTTATCGATATCTAATCATAATCTCGTTTTGTCTTCTCCTGCCTATGCGCTTCACTCTCGCTCTCTCAGTGTCCTTCGCCCGGCCAACAATCTGACCATCACGGGCAGCATAAACTACAGCCCACGAAATTCAATGGAAAACGATGCCTGGACGCTTGGTGAATCCTCAGAGTTCGGCGAGTATCCCGAGGACTACGAAGAGGACGACGTGGATGGGGAGGATCCAGAGCAGGAACGGGACGAATACGCGGCTGGCCAGGAGTCCGATGAGGTATTCGAGGCGGAAACGGCGGAGGCCACAGCTTAGGTCAGACAACAGCAGCAGCAGCAGCATCGAGTTAAGCCAGCAACAGTGATAAATATATATATTATAGCAGTCTATATATATAAATACAAAACTATATATTGTATAACGGCGAGCGCAATGCGATTTAGTTATTAATCTTTTCCTATATCACATCAAACATGATATTTGATTTATATAAACTGAAGTAAGGCAATTGAATGTCTTGAATAAACTGAGTGAATACTTTGCACGATGAATATTATTTACGATGCTGTCCAGAAAACGCCATAACTGAAATAGAACTTAGACAGAAAATATATTTTAAAAGCAGCTGCTAAAAGTTTTAAATGAAGTGTATACAATATATATTAGTTTATAGACTTCAACAGACTTACCGTTGATCTTCAGCTAGATACTAAGTCTATGCAAGTGAGAAACTATGTTCAACAACTATAAGATACTCAACTCGCTGGTAAATCCGAGCGGAACAATGATGCTAGATATGATATTCTAAAAATAAGGAATTGATATCTCTAAAAACCATGTAAAACTGTGCTAAACAACTGAATACGTTCCGGATTTAAGCGATTTCTACGCCTCAGCAAATTGAATAACACTTGTAAGGAAACGAATCGAAAGCCGACTAAACGCAGAAAGAAGCCTATATGAATATATGAATAAATACTTATATATATATAGGTATATATAGTTTTATATGCGTAGAATTTAGTCATGTGGTATTTGCTTTTAACTTGTTTAAGTACGTTTTATTAAAGTTTATTCAGCCAGCGCTGCCTGCTGGCCGAACCAACTGAATATGATTAAAATGCATAGATTATTAGAACTACATGGAAATATATACATACATACTATATAATACGTAATGGTGTCGGTGTCCATGGTTTTTAATTATTTTAAAAATGTATATTTATATATGCAATATATTTGAAAATTCAAATTGATTTGAATTGTGAAAATTTTGTAATATTCAAACAATGTATTATGCAATTTGTTTACTGTTGTTTTATTTCTAAAGGCAAAATAAAATTGATGATTTAATGTACAATATATGGAGAGTTTTATTAAAACTAATATGCCCTACTTACAATGTTTCTCTGATTAGCATTCAAATGGGAGTTCTTATGGGTAGACCAAAATGTAGCATACTTTTAAGCTGCTCGCTAGAAACTGAATTAATATTAGATTCATATATTTATTAAATGAACAGCATTTTAATAATATTTAAACAAAATTATGTAACTGGGATATATTTGGCTTCGTTTAAGTCAAGCAGAACAATGCAAAGTTTATTCTATGATATTTCCAATTGGAGCAGCAGCTGAGAGAAGCGGAAATGCCAATTAGAGATTTTATGTAATGTGCAGCAGCAGCAGCAGAAACAAGAAAACACCAAACTAAACAAAATGAACAGCAAGAATTTATGTATTTGTCTGTGTGTGTGTTGGACAGTGTAAGGAATGCGCAATTTTATGAACTGGGGATTGAAAGTGGATGAGCAGGGGCGGGGCAGGGCAGCTGAAGCAAAGCATTGTAAAATAGAGCTAAACTAATTAAATTAAATAAAATAGAATTGTAAACAAAAGAACCCCAACAACAACAACAGCAACAGCAACTGAGACGAAAGAAAACAAATGAAAGAGCCATAAATATTTATCAAAAGAAATAACAAAACAAGCTGAGAAAAAATGCCAGAAATGAACGAATAATAATGAAATCGCATTGTTGTTGTTGCTGCTGCTTCTATTACTGTTGTTGTTGTTTGCTGTTGTTGTTATGCAATTCGTCTGATAAATGAATTAATTAATTTTTATGCAGTAAGAGCAGCTAAACACAGCCAAAGTTAAACAAAACAATGCAGATTATGAATAATATTTAATATACATCCCATAGCCGACGGACGAGAACATTTGGATCTGAGTTCTTTTTGGCATAGCATATGAATAAACAATACTGTTCCGTGAAATCTTTGGTTTTTGATAAGCGTTCTCTGGAAGCTGTTTATTTATCATGAATAAAGCATAACCTATTTGACGCTAATCGGATTTCATTTGAAATTTGGTAATCTCACATCCTATTTGTATTCTGAAACGATTCACAAACAAACCCGTGAAGTATCTCCCCCTACATTTGCGATAAAACGAATGTTTCTAATTTCCGATTTACTACCCCTACCAGCAACCCACATTCCAACAGTAAAAGTAGCCGTTGATTTGTATATCATATAATTCGTAGTCAAGGTAAAAAATCTCTCAAGGCACTGAGCTGACTTAGGTCTTAAATTCCTCAGAGTGTAAATATTCTATTTCTTTTATACTTTTAAAAATACACAATATTAATTTAAGTACCGCCCATATTACATATATCAAACAGAACAGTGAGTATCCTAAATGCCGTTATTTAAACTTCTAATTGGAATCTGAATATAAAAATAAATATTAAACTTGGAATACCAATTAATAGTCTAAATTAAAACTAGCCGATAATTGTTTATATAAAATTGTTTATGAAAAACGATGCCTTTAATAAAATTATAATCTTTTTAAATATTATTAGCATTTTTTTTCTTGCTGTACATAAAGCTATTATTATTTTTTATTGTAAGAACAAAAATCATTGATATATTCCCATCAATAGTATAAAATTGAAATAACTTGAGCTCAGATAGACAGATGAATAGACATCAAATTTAGACACCACTTGAGAAACAAGTATCAAGAGATATGAAAATACTTTCGAAAAATTCTTGAAATATTCTGAATTTTTGTTCATAAACTATTTGTGAAATTGACTATTTATTTTATTTTTATTTATGGCTAAAGATATATGTATGTATATAGATATTTAATATATAATATTTTTTGATTAGATAGATATGGATATATTCAATATTAATGTTAATAATATATATTGCATTCAAAATTATATTGAGAACAGGGAGTTCCAGCCCCGCCCTACTTCGAGTATTTTTCCTGGTCATATCCTATTATAGCAATAATGAATAAAAATAACTCTTGGTTTCTTAGTGGCTCTCGAGTGCTGTGAGGCTCGCAATTTGGGCAGAGTTAGGCGCTTCTATTGAAATGCTAATGACTACGCTTTCTTGGCTCTGAGTGTTTAGTCTGGCACTTGGGCATCGAATGGAATGGAATTATTTACGAGTATTTAGCATTCGGATGGACTTACTCTTGGCCAATAAACAAATAATGCTTAATGTGCTTCGATGCGAATTATTATTTACGAAATGCGATGGAACGAATTGAATCGTCTCGGAATTTATGAACCACATTGCTGCACTTGGTACTTGAGGCCACTTAAACCGATTTGATATATGGTACTATAAGGCATTTCGATGCTATCCAAGGGTATCCATCCATCCCATCGATTGCGTCAGCTCTCGATGGCCAACGGGCATCGGCCAACGGCCAACAGCAAAACAAAACATTTGTCAATTCTTTTTATGAGTGCACAGAACAATATGTTTCTAATTGCCAAATATATAAATATGAGCTTCTATATATGTATTGGGATGCTGTAGAAATTCCGAAACAAGTCGCCATCAATCTTCAGCACGTCGTTGTGCTATTCATCTGGATAGAGCCGCTTGAAGTTGTAGTATAGACTGGGATTGTGGGCATTGTATATGGGATGCTGCATCACGACATGCCTGAAGTGCCACTGCTCCGCGAGTAGCGCGGCAATGGACAGCAGGTATCCAATGCCGAGAGCCACGAAGGAGCTCCAGAATTTATGCAGATTCATGAGTGCCTCCTGAGGCGCTCTCTCCTCGGCGGGCAGACGAATTATGGCGTCGCGCAGCCACTTAGAGATGAGACCTGGAGAGAGGGAGAGAAATAGAGAGGGAAAGAGACAGAGAGAGAGAGAGAGAATGAGAGAGATAGTGAATGGAAGAGAAATAGTGAGATTATTATTATACATTCTGAGACGTAGTGAAAGGGAAAGATAGAGAAAAAGAGAGAGATAGATAGAGATTGAAAAATAAATGGAAATAAAAGGAGGTGAGAGAGAGATAGTTACCGGAAAGAGAGAAAGAGAAGTGAAAGACAATAAAATGCAGATATAATGCGGATAGTATACCTAAGCACAGAACGAAAATCGACCAAATATGATACAGCAGAAGAGACAAATTGCGTGGGATGGAGCAGGGTAATAAGGAGAGATATACAGTGCGTGATTGAGAGACAGGCAGAAAATGAAATTAACTGGAAGAGAGCGATGGATAAAAACCCATAGGGAAAATATAGATAGAGAAAGAGAGAGAGAGAGAGAGAGAGAAAGACAGAGAGAAAGAGTACATCAGATGTAGATCAAAACAGAGGCAGCTAAATAGAGATTCAGTGAGAGACAGCAATAAGAAGTACAAATGCAACTCAAATTGATGGAAGAGATAAGGACAGTCAATAGAAAGATAGAAAAGAAACATAAATTGAGAAGATAGAAAACGAAGACTTTCTGGCACCCACCTCCCTCACCCAAATGCTGTATTATGCTGTTCACATGCGGCTGCAGCGCCGAGTTCTTCTCGAGAGCCAGCACCACGGGCATGTGGACCACGCACTCCCTCATGATGTGCAAGGCACCCGTGGCCACACCCTTGCTAGCGCCCGACGTGCGCAGATACCTCAAGTAGAACTCGTTGTCGTAGTAGGCGCACTGGCCACGTGCGATGCGTTTGGTCTGCCGTGGGAAGAGAGTCGAGAGTCTACATATAGATCTGTGCAATGGAAATACCCATTAGACGCACCAAGTCATCCGTATTATTTACGATTTCCATGCGTGCGCCCACTTCGCGGGCCGCGTCGTCGCTGGACTCGGCGAAAAACTGCTTATTCTCCACAGCCCCGGTTGCGGGTGGGATGCGAGCGCGGCTGAGGTCCTTGAGGGTGTCTATGGTGATGCTGAGGCAGAAGGAGTGCATGAGTGAGGGACCAGAAATGGGGACAGGTGCGAGGCTCACCTGGCTGCCGGGTTGGCCAAGATGGCCGTGAGGCTCGCCCTGTAGGTGGCGACCAGGAGGATGCAGTAGATCCAGTACCAGCCCGTGAGCACGCGCAGAGGCCAGTTCCGGGGCATGCGGGGCAGAGCCACGTAGAGCAGCATGCTGTAGGTGAGCAGGATGCAGTTGGAGTAGTCGTCGAAGATGTCGCGGTGCGGGGCAACTGGGAGCCGTCCTCTGCCCCGAGGGCGAGCCAGAGTGATGCGAAAGCTTAGGCGCCGC